TCCAGAAGATGTACCATCAGATGGAGATAGAGTTTCAAAGCTTTTAGTTCTAACTCGGGGTTCCAAAGTAGAGTTGTGGTCAGTTAATACTGTTTCAGCAAGATTCAGATCAATAGAGGTGAATGTGTACCTTACTTACAGATTATAAAATCCATACAAAATGAACAAAGTATCCAACTGTTTGACTAAATGATAGGCAACTGATCCAGCTGTAAAGGAAAATGGAGGCATGTTGGAAATTGATCAACATTCTGATACAATCATAGAAGCAACATTCAGTCCAGATGGTACAGCTTTAGCTACAGCTAGTTTTGATGGAGAAGTAAAATTCTTTCAAGTTTATTTACATAGTAATTCTCATGGTAATCAAGCACAACCACGTTGTTTACATCAATGGAGACCACATGGTGGACGACCAATATCTTGTTTGTTCTTCCTAGATGATCATAAAACATATCATCCAGAGTAAGTAATTATTAAAAAAAATATTACTGAATTTATTTTATTACTGACAAAATAATCATTATAATTATATTTTATTTTTTAGAGTTCAGTTTTGGAGATTTGCTATAACTGGATGTGATAATAACACAGAATTGAAAGTTTGGTCTTGTGAAGTATGGTCATGCTTACAAACTATTAAATTCGCACCCACGCCTTCTACTGGTAAATTACCAGTGTTAAAAGCAGGCTTAGATCTTAGTGCAGGATATCTTTTATTATCAGATATTTACAATAAAGTTCTATATATATTAAGTCTTATAAAAGATAATGGGGATACATTAACATCAGTAAGTACAATATCAGAATTTCTTCTCCCATATCCAATATTGAGTTTTGGAATTGTCGACGCTGGTCTATGTAAAGTACGTCCCACTGGTGAATCGCTCGAAGATTTAAGTCCTTGTGAAGATGATATAGAAGAGCAACTTGTCATCAGGATGTATCTAGTTCAACCAAAATCATTGCAAGAATGTCATATTGCTTTTAAACCTGCCTCACATGTGAGTGGTAACTGCCTCATGGACACACTGACTCATGATTCATTGGGCTTTTCTGAAGACTTACCAGATATGGGAAATGTTAATCACAATGGAATTTCAGGGGAAAATTGTGAAGAAAATTGTTCTTTATCTGCTACAATTGAAGCAACAACGAATCATAACACTGGCTTAAATTTAATGACACCTGATGCATTCAGTTCTCCTGCCAAAAAAGAAAATAATGAACTAGATTCTCGTCCCAGTAGTCCAGAATTAGGTAAAGTCTTATCTGCTAGTCCATCACTTGCACAAGCAGTGCAGGCTTTAAATGCAACAGATCCACCATTAGCTACAAGCGAATTAGAAGAACAAGCACCTGCTAGTAGTGGTAGTAGTCCATCTAGAGAAGTAAGAGAAATTTTATCCCTTACAAAAGCAAATGAAGAACCAGAAACCGAAAATAAACCAGAAATTACTAATACTGTTGATGAAGATTGGCCTAATATTCCGATGGTATTATTAAAAGACGTAAGCAGACATGCAATGCAGGAAACTGATGGTTTTACAAATGAAGAAGAAAAAAGAAAAAAAATAAAAGATGAATCAACTATTGCAGAAAATGATGAAACTACTTGGCAAACAACAAACAAATTGAATGCTCTTGAATTAATAAATAAAATAGAATCAATTTTAGAAGTAGTTCAAAATCAACGACAAGAATTAAGAGAATTACGTACCGAAATGACTAGATTAAGACAAGAAACACCAATTTCGACGCGAGTAGAATCTGCTCTAGCAAGAGCTTCACAACAACAAAATGCAACCTTAGAACAAACATTATATAGTCAAATGGCTCGTCAACATGAATTTCTTAAGACACTTGAAACAACAATCAAAGATAAAATTGAAACTACTTTACCACGTATTATTGAAGACACAGTAGAACCATTAAAGCATCAACTTAGATTAGATTCTGCTCGAATGGATGAACTCTTAAAAAAGAATTTAACGGATCTAATTAATAGTTCTCATATAAAAGATACACTTGCTATGGCAGCAGTAAATGCAGCAAAACCAGCATTAGATGCAGCATTTAAAGAAGCCTTTACAAATGTTCTTTTACCTGGAATGGAAAAAGCATGTCAAACGATGTTCAGACAAGTACAAGATGTTTTTATCAGGGGTACTCGTGAATGTAAGATATTCGATATAATTTAAAGAAAATGTTACGATATATATATTTTATATAAAATATTTCTTTTATTTTATAGATCTTCAAAATGTGGATGCAATTGCAGATAAGCAATATCAACAACGAAATGAACAACAAAGTGAAGCATTATCTGCTTTAGTTCGTGAAGAATTACAAACAGAACTGAATAGAGGTTTAATTATTCTACAAGAAGGAACGATACGTACAATTCGTGATTCTATTAGAGATAATTTAAATCAACAATTAACAGAGATTACAAATGCACGGTAAATGAAATATAAGTATTACATTAGTTTTTTTATTAAAGAATGATATTAATTTAATGTATATTTATAGCTCTCGAGCTACTACACCTGCTATACCAGTCTCAGCAGTCGCCGATGCTCAAGCACGAGTTATATCTCTTCTTCAAAGAGGACAATTAAATGCTGCTTTCCAACAAGCTCTAAGTGCTAGTGATTTAGGTTTGGTAGTATTAGTTTGTGAAAAAACAGAACCCGCCAGAGTATTTTCTTCTGTGGGACCTCAAGGTCAAGGTACAAGATGTATTTTACAACAACCTGTAATTCTCTCACTTGTACAACAATTATCTGCAGATTTAGGACATCGTACGGAGCTTAAACATAGGTAATTTTTCATGAATATATTTTACTATATATTTTAATTGATTTTTTATTATCATTTACTAGGTGGCTTGAAGAAGCAATATTAAATTTAGATCCGAACGATCCAGTAACACGAGAGCATATGGGTACCGTATTAATGACATTACAAACACAATTAGCTGCTTTTGTTGCAGCAAATCCAAATCATAGTTCTACTCGACGTATGAAAATGTTAGCTATGGCTGCACGTGCACTTTTAAATCAACAACCTTGATGTTATATACATATGGAATAGAAAAAACGCACTGACACGAGATTTTATATGTTTTGTTTAAAAAAATACTTTAATATTATCTGAAAGTAATATTCACATTATCTTCCTGTTTAAGACTGGCAGTAATTTACATAAAATATGAAAAAATATTGTACGAAGTTATTAACAGTTAACACAATTTCAAAAAATCTGTTTTTATAATTTAATTTTTCATAAAGTACATACGTTTACGAAATATTGAAGAAAGAAAGAGTTTAATAGAAAATTATTTTCTTGATTATAAATACATATTATGTAAGTGTATTATACATAATAAGTAAAAAGCGTGATATAAATAATGTCATTGAAATAATGACACACAACTTAAGGAATTTAAATTATTATTTTATTAATTATCAATAAAAAATTTTATGAATTACTAGTATATTGACTGATATTAAGAAAGTTCTTTTATAATTTGTATGATACACAAAAGAAATTTATTTTTAATTATTATAATTACATTTCTTAAATAATATTTTCTTGTAAAATTAAACTATGTAATGTTCTCACATTTAAAACGAAATTTTAAAAAATAGAATTTAAATATAATTAACATATATTCTCTTAATTCTCCTAAATGTTGACTTTGTATTAATATATAGATAATGCATTTCATGACATATTGTATGATACACATTAAACTTTTCATATGCACGAAGATCGAAAGTAGCCGTTAAATTTTAATTAGATTTAAATTATAAGCTTTAATAACTCTTTTTGACAAAAAAAAAAAAATTTCATAAATTCTGTATTTAAAAACTATATGTATTGAAATATTTCTGTTCTATATTTTATTTTATCTCTATTTCATCCGTATTTTCTTTTACCGAATATACTGCTAAATGTAATGTAATAAACTAAAATATTCTATATTTCTTACTATGAAAAAAATAAACATTTTAAAATGAATAAGTTGTATCTCAAATTTTATAATATATACATTAATAAGTGGGGTAATTTTATTATTTTAATTATTAACACAATGAGCATGTGTATAAACATGTAAACATAATGTTATCATAAAATGATATATATACATCTTCTATATACACAGTTTATAATTCTTCAAAGAATGTAAATAATATGTAATTTATATGCACATTTATATTTTTCTTGAATTTATATATTTATATATATTAGCTATATATAAAAATTCCTAGTTCCAAATTTATGTTGTGTTCCTTATATAATTAAATATTAAATCAAAAGTAGCATATATATATATATATATATATATATATATATATATATAT